TTTTATCTAGATTAAAGACTATTGTCATATCTATCCTATCTTATCCTATCCTACTATTTTTCCGTAGTCCTATTGAACTAAAAATAACTTATCGATTGGTACAATTAATCGAAATTTATTCCATGTCTCATGTTGTCATAAATATATTGCTCTGAATTCTGAAAGGTGCTTATAATAAATACTTTTGATTTTTTTTATAGGGGGGGGGGGTATAGGTAAAATTTTAAAACATTTTATCCCCCCACAAACATGGCCAAATTACGCCACTGAAACTGTAAACTAAAAACCAACCATGGTAACGAGTTTGTGACGGTCGATGACGTGACGATGCAGTTACTGAAAAATAAAATCAAACACAATATGAACGAGACGCGTCTCCATTGCTTTGAAACGATAACCCCTACCTCGTCGYTAGAAAAAACAAGACRACGTCTCATGTTTATTTTTTACAGTGAATTTATACTGTATTTGGATATTTATTGGAACGACCCGTCACGTTGGGCACCGTCTGTTCACGCGAGGGGCTTGCAAATGGTCTATTCTAAGAAAACGATAATGGTATGACAAAAATAAAATATTTTCAAAAATGTAATATTGAAATATATATAAATATATTTTATTATTTTATTATGAATTATGATTTATGAAATTTGTAAAATAAATATTTTATTAAATTTATTATTWAAATTATTTTTCTGTATTATAAATGTGTCAAGTCGTTGTCTTATTGTCTCCTATGACGCATGCCGCTAAAATTAGATCATTTTCTTGGCCATTAGAATTTTTGTAGGGTGTTTACGGTTGGTTGAAGAACATGTATATGCGGGTCGAAGATTTGTCACTAAAAACCTCGGATACCCATCCATGAACTAGTAATTTCGCTATACTTAACCTTAGAACACGTTACAGACTGTCTGTCTTAAAAGTTGCACCAGGCCCCGAATATATATTATATTAGTGTATTATATGTTTCAAAGTACCATCATACTGCAGGTCTGCGAGGGTTTAACTCGCAGAATATATAATAAATAAATATTTTATTGTTACTTATTGTGTCTAAAATTATATAATAATTTTTTTTTTTTTTTTGGACGGGGAAGTGGTTGACGGTAAAACCCTTCAAATAATTTATTCATAAATAACAATAAATAATTACATGTAAACAACTCGAAGTTTTGTGAAATATTGTAAAATAAATTAAAATATATTATAAAATTAATAGCTTTAGTATTATATCTATATCATAATTTGTTAACTTTAAGTTGACTGTTGACCTTTATAGTAAATTATACATATTTTATTAGATATTAAATAAAATTCAAACAGAAATAAAAATATTCAAGCCAAAAATATGTTAAAAAATGTAATAAATTAAAGCTTAAAACAAGGAGGGGGGGGGAGAAACGATATATTCGCGTCACTGTAAAATTCAGTGGGTAACTCCCATCTTGCTTGACATTGATTACGTCTATGTGGCATTGTGGCATCATGGTTCAACATTGATAATGACATATTTATTTATTTTGAAAGCTAGTAGAGTTATTTATGCCATAATTATTGTTGAATAAAAATTATATTAATTTAATGGGTATAGTGTGTGCTTTTGAGACTATTATATTTTACATCCTGTATGTATGATTTATTCTAATTTTGAAAATTAGGAATGTTTAGTTTTTTCATTCGGACCATTTTAATACTCTTCATGACTGTATTATTAGTTTGATTAATGTCTGTTGTGTATTATACTTTTTTTTGAATTCGGATGTTTTATATAATTACATACTTTAATTTCAAAAGATTTATTTAATTTTTATATGTTGAAACAGAAATGTATAAAATGTATTTTAACAATACTGAGTATAATGTATTATCTAGTTAGTAGTTAGTAGTATCTACATTTAATTTAATACACTTTAAAATAATCGATCTTACCTAGAATGTTCTAGCATTGCGTTCCTTTGAGCTCTTCGCCTACGAATCCTTCTCCTGGCTATCTTAAATATCTTCCAATAAAGAAACAGGATGACTAGTAGAGGCAAGTAAAACGTTGAACATGTGGCAAATATCTGATAGCCAATGTCTTGACTGACCATACATCGCTGTTGGATATTAATACGGTCCAGGTAATCCGGGTCCTTCCAGCCAAACTGTGGAGCCAATGACACGACTAGTGCCACAAACCACACCACAATAATCATACCCACTATTCTTCGACCGTTTCTCGTATGGATGTAATCAACATTCGTTACAGCCCAATATCTGAAAAGCAAATATCATTAATTTGCATAATTGATGTATTATTATTTGCATACACTTTGTATTGATTAATTAATTATTAAATATTCATAAACAAATATTAAACCATATGGGAGCTCGAAAAAAATACCTATATATTTATTTAATAATTAATCAGTAATAATTTTCTCTCGTTCTCTTTCACTGTTCTCTCTGCATACATTTATGAATAGATAAAAATATATTAACCAGTATTAATATAATATAATATTTAAAAAAAATTAGGCTTATTATTTAAAAATCGAAATGATTGAGTAGTTTGATGGGAAGAATATGCTCTTAAATGAGGAATTTGTTAAAATATATTATGTCTGTACCAGTATATTGTATAGAATATTGGTAGGTAGATCAGCCTATATGGAAATTAAATCTAGACAATATAAAATACCAATATTAGAACAAAACTACAAAAATAATTGGAATCGTTTTTTTAAAAATAATTTGGCGTAATAAACGAATGTTAATGATAAGATATAGGTCAAATGAATAACAAAAGAAGAATTTAAAAAAAAATCATAGAAAAATAAAATTCTTTGGAAAATGTTGATAAGAAGACGAATTAAGTTGACTGACTATAAAATTAGACACGAAAAGTTGTTAAAATTATTGATTGAATGTGTAAATAGATCAGTCATCCGAATTCGAAGTAAACTATAAATAAGTGTAAAATAAAATATGTGAGGTATAATATACACTTCCGATTTTATTAATTTAAAAAAAAATTGAAAACTATCTAAAATATTATTTTGAATTACTTGAAACAGCATTTTCAATAAAAAAGCAAATATTTTAATCAAAATTATAAGGAAAGAACCTCGTACGGATATCTAGTCTAGTATACAAAATAAAGGATATAGGTCCATCAAAGATCAAAGGTTTGAGTCGTATTTACAACCGAAAATAAAATAGGATTACTGAAACGAATGGAAAAAAAGTTATGAATCAATCTGAAGATTGATAACAAAGAAAAGAAAAAAATAATATTTTTATTTTATCAAAAATAAACATGTTGGTGAAAAGTAGGTGACTGTTCTGCCGTAAGTAATATTTTTATGATAAATTAATAACAGCAACCATAGTAATTTATTTTACAAATTATTAGTGATACGGTCGGTTGAATTTATTTTTGCCGATGACATTGCATTTAAAAATGCCTCGTTTAATATATTATAAAATATTATATTATATGTCACAAGTTTCATGACCTATGAAAAAAAATTTCAAATGATAACAAATATTAACTAAAATCGTTATTCTTTGTTTGAATACATAATTTTCGTTCATATTTTAAATAACTTAAAATGTCTCTAGTAAAATAATATGTACCATACATCTTTTCATTTTTGGTTAAAGTATTAACTCATGAAGAACCTTAAATTAAATTTTAAAGTTTTTTTATCAGGTTAAAATGTTTTCATCAATATTTATAAAAATAAAAATAATAGAAATCGTCAAATGTCTAAATGGCTTAAAAAGGTTCAAAATATTTTGAAAATGTTATGTGTGCCTAATATAAAATACTATTAAATGTTTTGATTATACCTATGGTTATTCATTTTWAAGTAACACCTAAAAAGCAAAATAAATTTTGTCAAAAATTAGTTTTCCGTAAAAATTCTCATTTTCCTTAATATTTTTATATTTTCGTTTTTTCCATGATTCTTTTGAAAAATACTGGATATCTTTTATCCTGACCTCTTAAAAGCAACAACTAAATCCAATTTGCTGCCACGAACCACCCCTAACATTGAAAATCAAAGCATTTTTCCAACTATGAATGTAACTGTGTGTACACAACACACAAAAAAAAAACACTACACATTGTTGTAAAATCAATACTCTATTCAGAACCTAAAATTATATTCATTTAGTGACAGTAAAAATATTTAGTGTAGATAAACTTGCATTTTAAGGACGAAACAACCAATTTTATAACGTTTGTATATTATTTTAAATTTGCCGAGTTGTATGGTTTTAATTTAAAATGTATTATGATAATATTAGATTTATTATAATGAGAAACAACTGAATTACTGCAAGGCTTACGGATATGTCAAACAGAATAAATTATATTATTTTTTTTTTTTTTTACTATACTCACGAGTTTATAAAAAAGGGTGCTAAATTGTTTAATACGTTTTTATACATGTTATATCAAGCTTCTTTAAATATATCAAATGATATATCCTTTTTTTTCTGCAACGGTATAACATCAAATGTAATTAAAGCGTCATGGAAATAGAAATGGGTCCAAGGACAATTTAAGTAAATGTACCTGCATAATTACTAGTAATGCAAAGTATTACAATTTAATATTGAGATTTCTACTGAGTAAGCTAGGCTTGGGGTAGAAGTTAAGGGTAGGTATGTATTTCTAGATGACCCTTTCATATATGTTTTTTTTTTATTTATTCATATAGCTATCCCTTACACGTATAATCCTCTTTTCAAACGATGTCCAATAATTACCAGTGAAACAAAAATTATTCAACAGGGAAATATATTCAGTGAACAATCAAAATCCTGCAAACATATTCTTTTTATCACATCCTTCCTCGTCGGTTATCTTGCCACTTACGCTTTTGTCCTAATTGCCTTTTTAATCAACATGGACTTTCTTCATATTTTTTTTTCGGCAGACTTAAATAATTTTGAGATGGTTTTCCCCTATTCCATTTTATCATCAGATGCAATCGATTTTACTATATTTTATTTTTATTATTTTAGAATTGATGTGAAGTGTAGGAATTTTAAGTTTATAGTGTTTTTTTTTCCAGAACTTCACTGATTAATTAGATGGTCTTAATTTCTCTTGAACAATTATTTATACCATCATTTTATAAACATTCTTTATGTTATTTTTAGACAGATTTCATATTTTTTAAGCAATGTTACAATTGTTTCGTTTTTTTCTTACAAATTGTATTTTATATTTTATACATTATTACAATAGGTAGTTAATTGCACGAATAAGTAAAATTAGGTAGGCACATAAATATATTGTTAATAGATATGGATAAGTGTTTTTTTTTCATGCAATTATTTTATATCATACATAAATATGTTTATATAATTAATTGTCGTATTTTATCAGTACTACATAATTAATGTTTTGATGATAGATTTTTTTTTACTGAAATTGATAAGCAGTATACTGCATACTCGTTGATAAATAAATGCAATTAACTAATTATGAATTAACAAACAAAAAATAAACCTTATATAATTCCATAAATAGATTTTAATTAATTACTTAATATCAACGAAATCCTAAAGAAGGGAGTAAACCTCTAGTGATTAAAACAAAGATTTGTGCCAGATCCAAGTCAGGATAAAAATGAGAGGGAATTCTTCTTAAACCTTATACAAATTTACATAAAATCAATAACTTGACTTTTTATTACACTAAGACGGTTTAGAAATGTTTATGAAATGCAATATTCATTGTATTAAAATTAACAATAATAATTCAAAATATTATTTGTGAGCCAAATATTTTTACTTCTATTTTGTCCTTAATTCAAATTGTTACACGGATAAAAATAATATTCCTGGAAAAACTAAATAAAAGCTTCTGCAGCTTTTGTGTATAATTAAAATAAATTTTTCATTGATTTATATTTAAAACATAAGATACTGAGTACATTTATTTACAAGCGCAGCTAAAATTAAAATATATAATTGTATTCAAATCAAGTTTATTCGATTAAGTATCTACTTTATTTTGTTTGTAAAATCTGCCTCTGTATTAACGCCTGACGTAATTTTAGTTAATTTAAAAGTGTATGGTTTTAATGGTGTGGTCAATTGATTTTTTTTCTTAAATGTATATGTATAATCACTAATTACATTGAATTAATGCTTTAATTATTTTATTATTAGCTAATAAATATATAATTTATCCAGGTGTTTTAAAATATTTTATCACAATAGTGGTACTGTTTATTGATAAAAATAATGTTTTTATATAAAAACAAAATAATTATTTAATTATTTATATAGTAACGAAAAATTACTTATAAGTGAATTTTGAACTTACTGTTAGTATGATATATGTATAATAATATATATATATATTTTTTTAATGTTCATTATTTATGTAAATTGTATAGTGTAGGTACACAATATTTTTATGGTGGATTGTTAATTTATGATTATAATTATTTATATTTTATTTATACTCTAGATAGTTAAATAGAAAATGTATGCTAGTATTTTATCTGTTTTAAAATATTATTTTTTATTTGTATTGATTCTTAGAGAAGATAATTATTGACCACACTAAATAATATGTAAAATAAAAACTATCCATAGATAATACCCGCAGCGTCCACTAATACTTAAGGGGTCATTTTAAAGTTTTATGTGATATGAATAGAATTGTTTTAATATAATTTGATGAGCTTATAAAATTTAAGTTTTTCAAAACTTCCGATTATTTATCATGGGAAATTTTTAAATGAAGAAACTTGACTTATTTTTGGTTTAAAAATTAGTACCAATTTTAAAGTTGTATAAATCTATTGTTGATCATTTATAATAATCAATGTTTAGAACACTAGATTAGCGCAGTCATGTGACGACGTTACCTACGTAGATGTTATATGATACTTATATATTCTCTTTTAAACACTAAATAAATATATAAATAATAATAAACTATTAGTTGACTAATTCATTTTTTTTTATTATTAAACCATATTTTTCTACATAGCTGTAGTTGTTTAAAACTGTTTTCTTATGAAAACGTCCAGCTTAATGTATCTATGTGATTAAAAAACGCAAAATTTATCAAGGAAAACCAGTTTTCAATATAAAAAATTAGTTTTATTCCTTGTATATTATTATTTATATATTATTTTGAACCGTCATGAACTAGTCAAATATTTTGAATGATCTGCACATTAGGTAGGCACATATATATCAAATATTAATATCACAATATAATTATTGACTTGAGTAAATCAATTTTCTGTCGTTAAGACTAAATGAGTAGGATTGTACAAAAATATTAGCATGTTGGCTAAGATATTAATATCATATTGAAATTATAACCTTATCTAGTGACATACGGCATGGATATATCTGATTTATGACTTTCTATGTTCAGAAAATTAGTAAACTCCATTGTCATGAATATTAAAACAATGTTGGTGTTGTTTAACTTTCAAAAGCTTCTTTTAAGGAACTTCATGGTTGTAAGTAAAATAACGTAAGTAAGATATTATGTGTGTGTCAAATGATAAATCATCTATAAATATGGGCTTAAAACATTTGATTTGAGACAAAATTTTAATGTTTAGAAATTAATTGTGTATACTATAATATAGTTATAATTAAATCGTATTCTTTTTAAATATTCCCTGATTATTTAGGTAGTTAGTTATGATTAATCAGTGGTTAATATAAAATATATAATTTATATTATATCCCGGTATCCCAAATCAAATCAACTTATAACATAATTAATTCTATAAAATGAATGGAATTGTATAATTTAATTTAAATGAAAAAAAAAAAAATAATAATAATAATATGAATCATTATTGTAAATGGGCTTACAACAATAATGTTTGTCGAAACTTTGGATAAAATAAATAATAATATGCTATAATACAGTGTATAAATTGTATATTACTTACAAATACGAGTAGCTGTATCAGTTTTAGTTAAAATATTATATTATAAGTATAAGTGGAGAAGTTCAAGTTTTATTGCAATTATTATTTCTTTATTATAATTGTTGTATTCATAAACTAGGTATTAAAAAGCAATTAGTATCCTTCAAAATCATAATCTACTGCATTTATCAATGTGATGTTTCAAATAAAGATTATTATACATTATTTATAGGCTATCGTTCAGTCTTTATAATTCCTATACTTTTATAAAATACCCAAAACTAAATCAACTAGGCTTACAGATTTTTAATAACAAAAAAATTAATAAAGCTATTAGTTTATTTATGAATTTTTTAATGGAATTATATTTTCAGAACAAAATATTTCATGTGTAGAATTGGAAAATCATCACCGATTGAGGGGTTTGTTTAGTCGGAAATGTCCCAATATTTTGTAAAGAAACAGTGAACAACTTTTATAAAATATTAAGTGATTGTTTTTAGATAGATAAAGTTTCTCCTGAGAATTATTATTATTTTTTAATAATATAAAAACATTATGAATTAGTTGTAAGAAGCCCTAACATATTATTGTTTTATATAAAGCACAATACTGCTTGTTTCTGTTTTCGTACAAAACTGCMTGGAAAACTACCATTATTGAAACTAATTTTCAATCGATTGAAATCTATTATTTTTATAGATGATTGAGAGAAAAAAATGTTCATCTTGAAATACCAATCATCATTATACTATAGATACTTAAACGAGCGAGCAATGTATGAAGCTTTTATCTGTTTTGTAAATTATTTGAGTAAAAGTATTCAAATACTTTATTGGTAGAGAAATACGTATTTCAAATATTTACGAAAAAAATTAATAACAATTTTTTTTTATAGACATTAAAGTTCAAATTTGGACGAAATTAGGTACATAAAAATAATCAAAAAATAATAAGGATCTCAATTCTCAATTATTGTAATTTAAAAAATATTTTTTGTTGAGGTTTGAAATTTTGAACGTAGGTATGACTCACTTCATGATCATGAAAAAAATTAATTTAACCTACCATATTACAAATTAAAAAAATAAATAAATACTGTAACAGCAATGCTAATGATATATTATAAAATATATACTAAGTAATATAGGCTGATAGACGGGCTTTTCTCAGATTGGTTTTTCGTAAATTCAACATATATATTTCTCAATGGTGAAGTCAAATTGACATCTACTACAGTACAGCAAAGCGGTTATATAAGTGTAATATGTATTTTCACTTGACTGTGAATTGTAATGTAATATTTCAACTTAAAAAAAAAAAAAAAACAAGGAACTTTTTTCCACTGCATTGATATAGGTTTTGATAATATCTCATCGTAGAGTAACTATTCTTGTTAAGAGTTTTCCCATTATTTTAATCATTATTGTAATAAAATAATCTCTACGAATATTGTAGTTATAATATTATATAGCTTAATATAATTTAAACTACATAATGTACAAAAAAAATGTTTAAAAAAGATTATTAGGTACATATTAATGTACCTAATAATCTTTTTTAAACATTTTTTTTTTTATCAATATTTTTACCTAGTTGGTTTTTAATTTGTTGCAATAAGGTCACAATGACAATGGAATTTAAAAGAAAACATAATTATTTAGCTATCATTGGCTAGCCCAATAATATATGTTCTCAATTTTATAATGATAGTGTGAGATGATGACGCTTGATGCATCCTTTGGACCATTGTTATACAATTAAGTTAGTACATGTTTTGTGATTTATATAATGCCGTTAGTAAATATTTATGTACCATTTCATAAAACTCGAGTGTCGGATTAATTATTACCCATATTTAGCAAATTAAGTGGCCAAAATGGCCTAATCTATAATCACTGAGTTGGGTTTTGGTTTAGAAATAAATTATTTATGTAAATATCGGTAACTAGGTAGGTACCAATTATGTTTAATGTAATATAGTGTAATTTAATATTAATTGAAACGTTAATTTGTTTTGAGTTCGTGCATCTAAATTTACATTTAATTAAAAATTATAAATACATGTGTTGTTATTGGTAAGTAATATCTTATTTTGGTAGGTTTGACTAATTTTTGTTCAAAAAATCAAGATTAAAATAATTTTAAATGTTATGAAAAGGTTCATAAAACAAATAATACTTTAAATACATATTTCTAAAATTTCACAATGTATAAAAATGACAACATATAAGATAATATATTGGAATATTCAGCATCCACACAATTAAAACTTTTTAATTGAAAAATCAATTGATTGTATCTAAAGCTTATCTTCAATAAATATTTCCGTTTTCGCTGTTTTTCTACAAATATTAAGAACATTTCTTATAACTTGCTAATCTTAACTCCCAGCTCCTCAAGTACAATCTAAACCAACATTTTACTCAAATATATTAGCGATGTCGGTAATTGGAGTAAAGCTTCTCAAAAAATACATGCTGAAAACACCAAAAACCAAAATTGTTGCATCTATATAGCACGATATTATATTAATTGATAAATTAAAATATACTCAATGGAAATATTCCCGTTAAAGCACGAATAATTTAGTTTTTTTGCTTGATAATATTAATAGTATTATAATTGATGTTATTAAAAAAAAAAGGTGTAAAAATAGAGCTGCCAAGTAAATCATTTACTAAATAATTGTTTATTTTAAGAAAGATAATCCTGTATGGTTGACTATTCGTCATTGGCGCTTGTGTGACTAATATTCTATGAAGTATATATTATTATAATTTATTTGAAACAAGATGTACATTACCTATCAACAGCTATTGCGACGAGATGAAGTATTGAAGCTGTACAACATAGTACATCACTCGAAGTCCACATATCACATAGTTCTGGGCCTAAAATCCATCCTCTGCTTATCTGTAAGAATAAAAGTACTTATTATTCTAATGAAAGTATGCCGTTAAATAGATAAATGTCCAGCCACGTGGGTTTAAGGTGAGTATTTATATTCATCATATCTATTAAAATAAAACGTCTATTAATATTATATTAAGTTTATTTTATGTATGCGTGATTTTTTTTTTTAAACATACATCAACAATAATTATATTAAATAATGATTTAATAAATAGGTTTTAATAAATGAGAAATTTACGGCGAAACACATCACAGAAATTACTAATTTAAAAACAAAGTATTGATTTAAAACCATTCACTTTTTCTGAGTTCGAACATGTATTGAGCAAATATTAATATTCAAGTGGAGTGTAAAAATATATTTAAATCTAAACATAATTTACATAAAACGTGTATTCAATTTGTGGTATAATTGAATTTGTTAAACTAATATGTTTTACATCTACTTAATTGTTTTCAGACTTCATCTATTTTTAGTTGTTATATTATTTACATAAATACACAGGTAATCAAATTAGAGTTAAGTTAAAATAATGAATTGATATAAAAATTAGTTCTTTTTTATTATTTCATCACTGTTATTAACATAAAACAAAATGGTATTTATTTTTATTTTTTCAAACAGTAATTATTGTAATGATATTAATTTACAATTATTTCATTTTGAAATTCCTTGTCTTATAGTTATTTTATCTTAGGCATAACTTAAAATAGTTACGAGATTGATTAAACAATGGGTATATATTTCTCTCAAGTGTTTTGTTTTTATTGATTTAATGTTTTAAAACTTTCAACCAGAAACAAAATGTAAGTACCTATATATATATATATATATATATCCACCACTGTAATACATTCATCAACGCAAAACGCAATACTATGGCAGAATCGGTCTGCTGTTAAATCCAGACGCTTTGTATTATCGTGTAAACACGGTGAAACGGAATGATTCGAAACAAATCCCAGTATTATTAAAAACAACGAACAACTGATTTGACTTTCCAAACATGTTAATGATTTTCTCTAGTGAAAACCAACCCTTCTATTCATACACCGAAAAACTATTCGATGGTTATAAGAATAATATTTACTTTTCAGACGCAGGTAAACGCGTATTGAGGTTTAACAGCTGTTGTATTATTAAATCGTACCATTTTATATTAAATGAAACATTATATCATATTTTCATAAGCGAATATCAATTTAATACGTCAAAAAAACTGATTGATTGGTCCAGCTATCTGCCGGGAATGCATTACTATTCCGTGTATTTTCGGAAAAAAAGGGTTTTCACATTCTATAGTGGTAATAATTTTTGACAATTTATAAAATATTTTAAATAACTACATATATACTCTTGGGTTTAAATAGTTCACTGTGATGTTGATCGTTTGAGCTTAAATGTAGAGCCAATTTAAAGCCAAAAGTAATAGGTAATTGATCAGATTTTAAGGGGGTACGTAGTTTTTTGTCGTATTGATTAAAAGTAAAATATTTTTCACAGAAATATATTATATTGCATCTGAACATTTTTTAGAAATGATAACTTATATTTTACAATGTTATTTAATAAACAGAATTTAGGGCGTTTCCCTATACATATGTGTAATAATCCATATATTTTATTACACATATTCCATTATAGTATACATGTATAAAATGCTTCTTTATTAGTTTGGAATCATAATATTTCAGGATTTTTGAAAACGTATATCTACGAACTAGATTTTGATTTAAAAAAATATGTGGTTTCCTAAATTCGTTAAAGTTAGTATAATACATGTACATAATTTTTAGATCAAATTTTTAAAATATATATTTATTATAATATAGCTATTTAATGATAAACCATGTGTGTGCTTGATGTTTTTGAAAATTAAAAAAAGTTCAACTATCAATTTATATTAATTATTCTTATAGAGTTATGCATTTTAAATGTTATGATAGTTCTTTTGAATCCTTAATAGAGAAATCAATGATTAAACTCATGCCAGATTTATAAAATAGGTAGTTTTATTAAATATTTTAAGTATCAGATAAGAGTTCCATAAATATTTGCCATTCTAAGTTCCAATACCTATTTTAATACCGAAATAATTTTTAAAAATTAGGAATAAACGATTTTAAAATAATTTAATTAAATGGACATATATTATAATGACACACAGCCTGTTTCTATTTCCAATAATAATTACGCGAAAAAGCGTACGATTCAAACAGTAATATGTCACGCACCTTTTTATTTTAACTGTCATTATTAATTTAGCACAATTCTTTGGCTTAAAATTTTAAAATTAGAGTAAAAATTAACTCAATAAATATATAATTTATTCTACTCTCATTACATTTATTACATTTGTTTTAGTATATTTATATAATAAACATTAAATACATTTAAGCCTATTTGCATGATGTAAGCTTTTCATACTTTTATTATAATATGTAAAGTAACGAAAAACGTAACACAGGTACAAATACAGCGTAACACTATATAATATTACACTCAAATACTCACGAAATATAATAATAATATGATCAATATTGTAATTTATTGGGTTCTATTTGTTTTTTTACTGTAAATCGTAATGTTCATATTGAAATGATTTTATATGAAAAAAAAAATACAAATAGATAAAAACTAAAGTAGTGCCAAATGTTTTTATAGTTTATCATAAGAATTTAATAATATTTGATATTTTAAACCTATATATTTATAGTTACATTGAGTAGTTTCAATGTTTATGGTCTAAGATAAAAATATGTATAAATTACTTAGCACAAGGAATATTAAATGCATGGTATATAAATGTCACATTTGCGTACAAAACTTGTACATTAACGTTTACAGCTGACCTGATTTTAAATTACAAACTTTACTTTTTAACCTAAAAAGTTACAAAACATAATACAGTCTTATTAAAAATAATAGCGATATTAATGGTCAATACTTCTCAAATGGTTTTACTTTTGTTGTTTTTGAACAAAATGTAAGGAAATTATTGTCAATATAAACTCAGCGATGGTAACGACGATGATAAAATAGAATCTACGAGTAGTATAACGTCAATAGTAGTTAGGGGAGTGTCCAATATTTAATATCTTGTATTTTCGTTATGTTTTTGACATAATCTTCCTGATATAAAAGAAGCTGAAATTAGCTTATTATTTCAAAGATTGACGACTCCCGTGAAACTAATTTCCTTTGGATTCGTCCTATTTTATTTTCAAAGGAAATTACATTTCATCAATACTCTATTAGAAGAAGAACTTATTTAGTATTGGGTGAAGTTTTATATAAAAATAATCTCAATTTTTAGAATTTTTATTTCAGTTATATTATTTGATCTGACACCAGAACATAAAAAGTTCTTCACTATTGCATCACTTCAGTGTGTTATAACAAAGCCTTACGCTAATAAACAGCTGACAAAGGCTCTTGAAAAATAGGAGGAACGTAGACAAAATTTAATTAAATGAACCGTTTTAATAATGTAACCCAATACTTTAAACATATTTCCTTCATTAGTTGGTTTGAATAACTGCTTGTAGGGGGTGACGTAGGTATATAATTTATATTTTATGACTTTTAATTCGTGGTAACCTGTTCTCTGTGTGTCGTGCAGCTTATGAATAATATACCTGCACTTTCCACAACGAGTGATGTGTAGTAATGCTTGAGGTCACATATATATATTGCAGACTGCTACAAAATAAATATTATCACTGCGTTTAAAATTTTATAGTTTTACATATAAATATATAAAAAGTTAGTTTGTAGAATAAAATATGCTTGAGGAACAATTATATCGTTATAACGACATATTTATTAAGATATTTATTCAACTTGAAAAAACTATATCATTATGGATTATTTTATAATTAAAAAAAAAAAAATAATACAAATATAAATAATAAAATTTTTTTTTATTTTTTAAAGTTTTATGATTATTTTATGCACATGATTTTTATATGAATGGAGGTAATTTAACTGCTTTGTTTTATCTTTTATGAAGTATATAATATATCCTTTTAATATACGAATGAACAATTTTTAATAATATGCATTTTAAATTTAAATCCATTCCCTGTGTTGTATAAATAAAATAATTTGATAAATATGGTATAAATATATATATATTCATATCTCCTAAATATATAATATAAAATGTATGAACACGCTTACTATGTATTCAGTTTCAAAAATGTGTACATTTCATAATGTATTGATATAAATACTATTTGTTTTATTTTTATTATCAATTATTATTTGTCTGTCTATCATTTTGTGAKCTTGAAAATAAAATATACTAATATATTCAAAAAGCATTACAGATTGTACAAATATTAAGTTTATGCTTAAATAATCATAATATAATGAAAGACAAGAACGTGGTAAATAATTAAAAAAGTAATAATTATTCTTGTTTGACTGATTTATTATTATCAACCACGTTTAATAGTTATTAATAGTTTATAATTGGTATTAAATTGTTTCTGTATTTCAAACACAGTGAAACTTCCACATAACCAACTTTTCTAATCAATGAAATATTCATTAGAACCATAACCAAATTAGAACAAAATGTATTCAATTTAATTTTACAAATTTTTATTGTTGCCCATTGATACTTTATAATATGAAAGTTTCATTGTATTTTAATATGTAAGGAGGAGAAGACATATCCATTGGAAATTAACTAAAGGTTATTAAAACCCTAGATTTCCTAAATGCAACTATACTTACTTGAAATTTATTGTTAATATTATACATGTAGATACCAAATAATATAAATAACAATATATTGTCTCGATGAAATTTCAAGTGGCGAAAAAAAATGTCTGGTTTAAATCTAGTTTTTAACTGTATTTACCCTTAATAACAAACTACCCTATGTTATTCGAATTTAAGTGTCGGATCATTACAGATTGCTACTAAAATTTGCACCAAAAACCATTGGTATGTGTGTGTGTGTCAGTCGTTTTTTGGACACTCGTCGCAA